ATCGCTGCGTATCCACCCCTTAGCCGTTATATACGAAAGAAATCATTTGTGTAGGATGGCCCCCAGCTCTTGTGTGCGTATAAAATAAAATATTAAAGTGACAGCATGTACTCCGCCAACGCATGCTGGTGGTGCCAGGGACAATGACGGGTGCAGTGCATTTGAATGGTGCCATGAGCCACAATGCACACAGTTGGTGACACGGGGCAGTGTCATCACACACACACACACACACACACACACACACACACACACACACACACACACACACACACACACACACACACACACACACACACACACACGCACCCAACGCAGACCACAACGCCGTCTGACAACAACACCCGTGCACTCACGGAGAATGCAAAGTTTGGCAGCCAGTCGAGTTTCTTCTTGGCGCCCCACACGCGGCAGAGCGAGAGAAAATACGAGAGCTCGCGGGAGCGCAGCGCAAAGTAGTCAATCAGCAATATGGCAGCAACAGGGTCCTGAAGTATGCACGTGCATGTGTTGGTGTGTGTGTGTGTGTGTGTGTGTGTGTGAGCGTCAACAAACTTTAAAGTACCAGCCTCAGAGCAACGCACACGTCCCCAGACCACACCGCTTAAGACCCCATCCAGCTCTCTATGACGCGTCCTCCCCTCCCCCCCCACCCCTCCTCACGTTGTCTGGATCGAGGGCGAGGAGGAGTTTGCAGCACTCGAGCGCCGTCCGCCAGCACCCGCGGTGGCTCACGTACGAGATGTGCCTACACCCACACGCATGGTGTACGTGTACGTGTGAGTGTGTGTGTGTGTGTGTGTGCGTGCGTGTGTGTGTGTGTGTGCGTGTATGTGTGTGTGTTCAGACGCAAAGGTGAGCTCATACGAGAGACGGCATCTCACGAACAACAACAGCAACAACAACAGCTTCACAGAAACATGGTGGCAAGTGGCTTCAATTTCACTCAGAACCCCATCAATCAACCCTTCCCTTCTCCCCTCACCTCCCCCCCTTCCCACTTATGAGTTCCAAACGGACTTGAAGAGCGCGATGAAAAATGCCCTGTTCTCGTAGTAGCGGTAGTCGAGGAAGCAGTCCCCTTTGCTCGGGTTGAACATGGGGTGCATGTTCGCCTCAAAGCAGTACAGCGCGCGTTCAACAAGCTCCCCAGCCTGCGCTGTGTCGCCATGCACACGCACCACCTGGAGGCCGGCCAGGGAGGAATAGGAGTAGGGGAGGCGAAGGTTGTTGGTGCGTCACGTCAATGTGAACAGGGAACACGTGTAGGGTGGCAGGGACTCATGTGTCAACGGTTATAAGGATGAAGAACACGAAGCCAGCGTGACCTTTGCACTCAACCAAACAACAAACCCACACGGGCGCCTATCCACGCGTCCAACCATGCAACCAAATCACACGAGCACCTCCAACAAACCAGCTGACAATCCCCCATCCATCCATCCATCCCTCCCTCCACTCGCCCCGGACCTGGCTCATCTGCAGGAGCGTGTCGACGTGGTAAGGGTGGCGGCGAAGAATGTGCTCAAACGCCCGCGGATCGTACCCTTTCACCGCGCGCAGGAACAGCTGCTGCACCTCCCGATATGAAGACGAGTGCGCAAACCGAAACACGTGCTGCCTCGCATTGCCAGCTGTTGCTGTCGCTGTCGCTGTTGATGCTGACGACGGTGAGGAGGAGGAGGAGGAGGGCTGCGATGGCGGTGGTTGTGCGTCCTTGTCGACGGTCATGGTGATGCCCAGGCGCCCGAGCGGCGGCCAGTCCGGCTTCGGCGTCACCATCGCAGACCGCACAGCACGCCCGCGCACCCTGGTGGTATTGGTGGTGGTGGTGGTGGTGGTGATGGTGTGTGGAAAGGGTGAGGAACAGAAGGAGAAGCAGAGGAAGAGAAAGAGGTGCGTTGTGGGAGAGCAGAAAGCAGCAGTGGCGCGTGGCAGCGTACCTGTGCTGGGGTGTCTGGAACGTGTGTGTGGCTCGGCCGGAGGTGCGCGCCTTGAATTTGCGTTGCAGCTCCTTCTCCGCATTCAGATACCTGTCGATGCGCACGAGACGGGATAGAATGTGTTCAAAGAGGGCAGGGGACAAAGACGACCATCGTGAGCCACACACACACACACACACACACACACACACACACACACACACACACACACACACACACACACACACACACACACACACACACACACAGAGAGAGAGAGAGAGAGAGAGAGAGAGACACACACACACAGAGAGAGACACACACACACACTTATGCACATGCACTGTTATGTACGTCCACTCGCTCGTACGCACGTAACACATGCACGCAGGCACGCATACACACGCACACATGCACACATGCACACATACACACCTTCTGTCGACGGCAAGAATGGACTGCTCGGACAAGGAGGGATCCTGCTGTCCCCCAGGCTTGGAACTCGTTGCACCTTCGCCTGTCTCCCCAAATTGCTCTTGAACGCTCTGCATATGAAAAGCAGATGAGTGAGGGCTAGCCGTAGCTTGCCTGTCGATGGACACACACACACACAATCACACACACACAATCACAATCACAATCACAATCACAATCACAATCACACACACACGCAAGGATACGTACCTTGATGAGCGCGTCCAAGTCGCCATCATCGTTGTCATTGTTGGGTAGGCTGCCTCCCGCCTTCTGGCGCACCTCATCCGCACCACCATTGTCTTTGGTGGCAAGGCCGTCGTGCTCCTCCTCCTCCTCCTCCTCCTCGTCGTCGTCATCATCATCATCAAGCCGGGGCACTGGTGTCTGTCTCTTCTTGTTCTTCTTCTTGTTGCGGCGCTTCCTGTTCTTCTTGCGTTTGGACTGCGCCAATGCCTCCGCAACGCCGTCTTGCTCGTCCTCTGCCGGCTGCTGGGTGGGCTTCTCCTGCTCGTGCTGCTCCTCCTCTTGTTCCTCTTCATCATCGTCTTCTTCCTCCTCCTCGTCCATCTGCAATGGGGGATGGGGGGTGGTGTTGCGAAGGGACATTCGTCAGCTTCGAGCATTGTCGGAAGGCAAACCAATCTAGCAACTCCCACTGCAAGAACACACACACACACACACACACACACACACACACACACACACACACACACACACACACACACACACACACACACGCACACACACCAAGGCAGCGAACGCGCTGAATCTTGAGGCAGGGGCTGCTTCGCCTTTGCTGTCGCTGTCGTTGTCGCTGTCATTGCTGTTGCTGCCATCATCATTGCCATCACTTGGCTGCCCCTGTCGTTGATCAGCGTGTGTCCTCTCCGACTCCGGCTCAACTGCAAGGTCTACCGCGCAGCAAAGCCAGAGGCAGTGTGTGTGTGTGTGTGTGTGTGTGTGTGTGTGTGTGTGTGCGAGCCATGAGACGTCGTTCGTTCGTTCATTGCACATCCCCACAAGCAGGCAAGCGAGCGAACGGGCAAACGAGCAAGCGAGCAAGCGCAGCATCCCACTCTCGCTGCCCACTTCATCACAATCACCGGTCTCGGGGTTGTCCCCGCGAAGTCGACGCAAGCGACGCAAGTGGCGGCTCGACATCACCCCCTGGTGCTTTGTGTGTGTGTGTGTGATGCGGTTGTGAACGTCCTCTTCTTCTTCTTCTTCTTCTTCTTCCTTTTGCTTTGTGCGTGTGCTTTATTTCCGCTTGCTTCGCTTTTCTCTCTGTTCTTTGCTTGGGCTTGGAGCAAGGACATGACGCTGAGGAAGAGGACACTGGGGCAGACTCCCACGCTGCTGCCACTGAGACTGCTGGGTGTCTGCTGGGTGGCGCTTGTTGTTGTTGTGCAACAGCAGCAGCATGGCTGGTGCTGTGTAGGGGAGGTGGTGCTGGTGGAGGACGACGCAGGCACGCTGCACATCAACACGAGCGATCCGCTGAGCCAGCCCGTGCTGGTCAACGGCGTGGACGTGAACGGCATGCTGGCTGCCCAGCAGAGCATCATCGGCATGCAGCAGAGCGCAATTCGCACGCAACAGAGCATGCTTGACACAGAGAGGAGCATCAACACAGCGCAACAGAGTGCTCTGGAGGCGCAGCAGCGTGCTCTGGAAGCGCAGCAGAGCACGATCAAAGAGTTGTGCCAGGTGAAGGTTCGAGCCAGGCAGTTTGGAGAGCTTGGTTCAGCAAACAGCAAGTGGGTTGGTGGTGTGCTGGCCAACAACGGGCTCATCTACGCTGCTCCGCACTCTGCGAGTACTGTTCTCATCATCGACCCCCGCACCAACACAGTGGATACAACATCCATATCTGGGCTTGGCGCAGACACGAGCAAATGGGCTGGCGCGGTATTGGCAGGCAATGGCTTCATCTACATGTTTCCGTCACACAGGACAACAGTGCTCATCATCGACCCCAAAGTCAACATGGCCGACACCACCAGCATTCAGGATCTTGGAATTGAGCCTGGGAAGTGGCTCAGCGGGATTGTAGCTGACAACGGCCTCATCTTTGGCATCCCCTACTCCGCCACCTCTGTGCTGATCATCGATCCAACGACCAATGTTGTAGACCTCACGACACTGTCCAACCTTTCCGCGAACAAATACAAATGGTACGGCGGTGTACAAGCGAACAACGGTCTTATCTACTGCATCCCAGTCTCCGCCAGCAATGTCCTCATCGTCGACCCAGCATCTCTCAGCATAGACATCACCGCAATCGAAGGGCTGGGCGCGAATCCGTACAAGTGGTTTGATGGCGTGCTTGCAGGCAACGGCCTGATCTACACGGTTCCAGCACACTCTGGAGCGTCGCTTGTGATCGACCCGCGCACGAACACGACGAGTTACCTCCTCGTTGCAGATCCAACAAACTCGGCCAAATGGGCTCGAGGAGTAGTTGCGCCGAACGGCAACATCATCGGCATCCCGTTTGATGACTCGTCCGTCCTCATCATTGATCCAACGACAAACGCCACTGACACCACCACCATCAGTGCCATTGAGGGAACAAGTATGTATCACGGTGGCGTGCTCGCCCCCAACGGTCTTGTCTATGGTATCCCAAGCGCCGCCAGTGTTGTGCTCGTCGTCGACCCTGGATGCTGAGAGCGTGTGTGTGTGTGTGTGTGTGTGTGTGTGTGTGTGTGTGTGTGTGTGTGTGTGTGTGTGTGTGTGTGTGTGTGTGTGTGTGTGTGTGTGTGTGTGTGTGTGTGTGTGGGTGTGTGGGTGTGTGGGTGTGTGGGTGTGGGTGGGTGGGTGTGGGTGGGTGGGTGTCTGTCTGTCTGTCTGTATACTCGTTTGTTTGCCACCTTCAGCCTGTCTGCTTTGCATGCCCACCGATGCCACCTTTGCCCGCCCCGCGTTTCAACCAAGCATCACAAGCCAATCAATCTCTTGCTCAACCTCTCAGTTCCCATTGATGTGACCGCTACAAGCCCAAACGGGCCGTTCACCCTTTGAGTCTGCTCATGTACTCGTCTAATGTAAACCAAATGCGTGTGCCAATGTTGAGCAAAAGCGGCCACGCATGCGCACTTTGAAGTCCTCATACCAAGTCACCAGCGCAACCCTGCGCGGTGCGGTTGTGTGCAGCAGAAAGCAATGGTACCGTGATGAGTGCTGTGCGTGTAAGGTACAAGATAGGGGGTGCAGCATGTGCTCCAGCACCCGCGTGGATACAACACACTATGCACGCCGTTGTTTCGTTTGACGTACCGCTGTTGAAACAGCTGTTGTGGTGTCTTCCTCTGCTCCCGCTCCAGCACTGCTGGTAAATCTCTCCAGTCCTTCACATAAATGAATGGCGCCTCAAGCTCCTGCAGTAACCAAGATAGTGTGTGTATGTGTGTGTGTGTTTGGAGGTAAGAGCTGGCGCGGATGGGACAGCAGCATGCCAGCATATCGTCCTTTCTGGCTTGTTAGACAGATGTCTACACACCTTGAGAAGGGCGAGGGGATCGCGCCCACACGTCTTTGGTTGGATCACGTCCTCCACAATTGGCGTGCTGCCCGCTGCGGCTGCCTCATACCATCGATAACACCTTCAAGCACGCATGCAAGGATGTGCGTGCGCGCGTGTGTGTGTTTGTGTGTGTGTGTTTGTGTGTGTTTGTCGGCATGAGCAAACGAGGGCCGACAGCGACACATGTCCGACCTTATCACATCACATCACGCACAGCATCACACATGCATGCTCGTACTCTGTGTTTAGGCCTGCCGGAGCCAATGTGTATTCGCTCTCTAGAAGCATCTGCTTGTACTCCTCGGCAGTCTCTGGCGTCTCGTTGGGAAGCCACTGTGTCCGTGCCTGTCGTCCAAGATACATGACGTGATACAAACCACAGCAATGAAACAAAATACACCAAGTTGCCCATGTCTCCATGTTGAGGCGTCACGCACGCACACGTACACAACTCAACTCAACTCAACTCAACTCAACTCCACCCAACTCGCCCCAACTCAACTTAACTCAACTCCACTCCACTCCACTCCACTCAACACGCGCACGCGCCTCACGTTGATGAAACAGTCTTTTGCCAAGCCACTTGCTCGCAGCACTTGCAGCAGTGTTTCGCGAGAAGAACCCTCGTAAATCTGTTAGTGGTCACAGTGTAGGTGGGGAGAATGATATGAGTTTCACGCGATTGGGTCAATGTGTCGCCTGCCTGCATGCACGAATACGCAACACGACACGACGTACATTACAAGAGTGCACGACAGCATACCACAGCGCACCGTTGCCTGGAGGTTGCAGAGGTACTTGCGTCGAGTCTTGCGAACTGCGGTGATGGTGATGTTTGGGTTTGGGCCGACAGCAGCGAGGTAATTGATGGCGCGCGGGAACTTGCGATACGTGGCGACGCCAAGTGGCCACTGCTGCACGCGCACACCATCCACCCAATCCTGCCGAAAGTAAAGCAAAGCAACATTGACGGTGGAAGTTGAGGGGGGGGGGTGCGTGAGTGCGTGAGTGTGAGTGTGGGGGAAGCGCGTGAGTAAGGCGGGATGGCAAGACACCCAACACAATTCACGAGCATAACGCGACACTCACACACACACAGCCAGTGCACACACACACACACACACACACACACACACACACACACACACACACACACACATACACGCATACACGCATACACACACGCACACACACACACGCACACACACATACACACACACACACCTTGCCTCCGTAGACCATGAAGGCAAACTTGATCTTAAAGCGACCTTCGTCTTCCAAGTACGGGCGAAGCCAGTGGTTGGTGCAGTCTTCCTGAGCCAGGACCACCAAACCAACCGCCTGATCCAGATCAAAGCGCAAAGCCGCGGCATGAGCCAGGGAAGAAGCACAACGCCCGTTCAGTGAGAAGAAGCGCCAACACAACACATCATGCAATACACAGGGAGAAAGCGTGCAGTGGCACAACCTCGAGGTGTGGCAATTGTGGCAGCAGGTCCAGCCATTGCTTTGCCGTGGGTATCTTTTCCTCATTGTGTCCGTTGAGAATGAGCACCACTACAATGCAAGCAAGCAAATGACAGCATGGAGGGTGTCGCGCATGCCACATGCCCGCACAAGCATCAACACGTGCACCCGCGATGAGATCTGAGCCTTCTTGCCGCAAAACATAGAGGGAGAGAGAGGGGGGGGGAGACAGAGAGAGAGAACGAGCGAGCCAGAGAGAGAGAGAGAGAGATGCTCGCACACTCACGCTCACACTCATTCACTCATGCTCCAACTCATTCACTCACTCACACAGTTCCTCACACACATACACACATTGACATATACACACACGTGCATGCGTGCACGCACCATGTTTTGCATTGTGGGGCACTTTTTGTGGAATGACGCCAGGCCCGCTACGGAAGTTGAGCTTGACACGTGGACATTGGCCTTGGCTGAAGAACCACACACCGTTTAGTCGCGGTTCAATTACCGTCTGCATGATGTGTTCCTGAAAGTACGTCCCAATGGCAGCTTTCGCTGTGTGTGTGCGTGTGTGCGAGTAAGTGTGTGTGAGTGAGTGGGTGTGTGCAGTTGCTGAGTGAGTGGGAGTAAGCAATGTGTGAGTGATGTGTGTGTGAATGGGTGTGTGTACGTGAGTGAGTGGGAGTAAGCAATGTGTGAGTGAGTGGGAGTTGCTGAGCTTGTGAACCATTTCAACGTGCCAACTTCGTACTGCTGCCACTCAGTGACGCGAACAACACCATCCATATCAACACGCTGATCTGCTTGCCTGCATGCATCGTCCCGCAATGGTGCACCAAGTATCAAACACCCACTCACTCACTCGCAAACTCGCTCACTCACAAGAACGCAAGAACACACACACACACACACACACACACACACACACACACACACACACACACACACACACACACACACACACACACACACTGGACTTACACCAAACTTCGACGGTGTGCTGCTTTGGCTGAGCCTGGTTGTCGGTTAAAAGCTGCCTCCATGCACGCATGAGGTCATCGTCGTCTTCGTCACCCCTGTCATGTGCCACAACAACCCGCTTCGTGTGACGGCCACGGTAACCATGACGTGGGAGCTGTTCCAGCTGCCCTTGTCCACCATTACTTTGCTGCTCCCATCTTGGATCACCTGCACGGTTTCCTCTCCTGTCCCCGTCAACACCCAAATCCCTACTGCTTCTTCCACCACCACCACCACCACCCTGTGGCATCAGCGTCGCCCACGCATACAAGCACACGCCAATGTTGATGGCCACCAGCACGCTGCCAACCACAAGCCACGCAGAACAACCCCTCCTCTTCATCGTCGTCGTTGGCTTCCACACACTTCGTTTCTCCTTGAAGGTCTTTTCAACCGTCAATGATAAAGCGGCATCACAATTTGATTACCCTTTCTTGTTGAAAGATTTTATCCAAATTTCTTCAATCCTGCGCAGTTGGGTTCCAAGAGCAGCGTCGCAGACAAAGTGCCCGGCTCATTTTCCCACCTCGCCAACCCCAACGCCATATCCGACGTTGGTGCAGCAGCCAGCCAGCCAGCCAGCCAGCCAGCCTCCTTTCCACATCACACACCAAACAAACCAACCACCACCGTTGAAGATGAAGGTGTCTGTTGTCCTGGCCCTAGTGCTTGGGGCATCGCTGGCCGTGGTGTCCAGCGGCCTGAACCTGGACCGCTGCACGGACATGCTGATGGATGGCCAGCTGCCCACTGCTGCCCAGTACGTCAACGCAACGCACGCCCTCGAGGTCGTGCCGTTCCACAACATTGCCCACGTCCACCCCAAGATTCTCAAGTCCCTGGAGCACACGGTGCTGTACATGTGTGCCGCTGACGATGCCGCCTCCAGCGGCGACGTGGAGCACATTGACATTGTGCGCCTGGAGAAGGCCGTCCTCAACCGCACCATCCAGATCACCACTGCCGTGTCCACCACGCGCCAGCGCTCTGCGCACGACGACACCTTCTTCCGTGGCCTGCTCAACGCGCTCGCGGATGGGCAGACGGACGTGAACAGCATCATCAATGAGGTGACCGGTGGCTGGTGGAACTGCGTGCGCAACGCCGTGTCCACGGCCCGTGACCTCTACCGCCTCTTCACCGCCGGCGCCGGCACCATGCTCGACGTCATCCACAACCTGGCCAGCACCATTGTCAACTGCATCTCCGCGGCCACCAACAACTCCCCGATTGGCTGGGTCCGCCGCGTGTGGCAGGCCGCCCGCCTTGTCCTTCGCGCGTCCTCCATTGCCCGCAACTGCGGCGGCCTGTGGAACACGTACCGCCAGCACGGCTTCAACAGCTTCGAGATGGGCCAGGGCGTTGGCCGCTGCATCAACACGCTGTCCCGCCGCCGCCGCGAGATTGCCGCCCAGCCACCCGCCTCCTGGCACTGCGACCCGGCCTTCTACGGCTCCCACGACGGCTGCGACGTCGGCTGCGGCGCCTTTGATCCCGACTGCAGCGACGCCGCCGAGGACATCCACTACGACCTCGACCAGCACATCGACTACGTGCCTTCCAACATCACCTGGGAGTGCCCCGCCACCTTCTACAACGGCAGCGACGGCTGCGACCTCGGCTGCGGCGCCTGGGATCCCGACTGCGGCCCGGAGGGCTCCCAGATTGACCCGTCCACTGCCCAGGAGTGGCAGCCGCGTTTCGCCATGGCCGTTGCTGCGGAGAACACCTACACCGCCGTGCTGGAGGAGGGCTCCAAGGACGCATCGGGCGCCTCCAGCCACGACGGCCACGTCCTCAGCACCACCAGCATCGGCCTCATTGTTGCCGGCACCGCGCTCGTGACCATGTGCGTGTGCGTCGCCGTGTTTGTTGGCATGTCGCGCCGCGAGCGTGCCAAGCGCGGCCGCCTTGCCCAGAAGCTGGTCAACGACGACGGCGATGCTGCCGCCGCCACCAACGACGAAGCGTACAGCCTCCACTAAACTTGCGCTCGTCGCTGGTCCCCGTGACGTGAGACTGACACGGTCATACACACACACACACACACTCACATGCCTTCCCTCTCTTTTTCTACACGACCATCAAGCAGCTTTGCCTTTCTGCTGCCCGCAATCAACCTCTCCATCCCAGCCGCCTTGCCTGTGTTAGCACGCTTTCCTTTCCCCCACTGTTTTCCTTTCCATTGGTTCCCTCCTTCTATCTGTTCGTGTGTGCCGCGCGTACTGCTTGCACCTTTCCTGCTTGCATGGTGTTGCTTGTGTGGCATGGCGACCACGTTCCCTCCTTCCCTCATTCACACACACCCGCCCCCACATCCGTTTCTGTTTTAACCGACTCCACACGACACCAAACCCAACATCATGATGATCCTCCCTCTTGTTTTGAACAGCAATGAATGGACCACTGAACTGATTCGATTCGTGGTGTGGGTGTGTGGGTGTGTGGGTGTGTGGGTGTGGGTAGAGGGGAGGGGAGGGCAGGAGGCTCCCATCTCAACATTGCTAGTGTGTGCCACAGTTGCTTGGCGCGTCGGGTGATATTGTTGTCATCGTTGACCGCATCAAAAACTTTGCTGACAAATCACCCACAACAACAACAAGAAGCAACTGAACGACTCGTCACATCACTGCTTGCTGCTGGTGCGAGGATGATGACGAACCGACAACCGCAGCAGCAACGCCAGGGCGGCAGGCGGCATGAGAGGAGACGGAGCACCTACGAGCTGCACCCACCTGTGTTGGTCGGCCCGGAGGAAGATGAGGAGGAAGAGGGGTTTGACGATGAGGTGGAGGGCAAGTTGGAGCAACGGCGGCAGCCACCACAGCAGGAACCACAGCAGGCACCGCTCCACCACCACCATGACGACCAGCAACGAAAGAGCAAAGAGGGCAAGATCAAGATGAAGCAAGCAGCCAGGACACACCGCAAGGAGGGCGCTGAACGCGAGGAGGAGAAGGTCGAAGAGGCAGAGGAGGAAGAGGAGCTGTTTGATGAACGCCGCGCGAACCTGACGTTCCTCATCCTTGGCGGCGGGTTCCTGTTTGCCATGATCGCCTTGCTTGGCATCGGCATTATGGATGTCGTGTATGGGGAGTCTCTGCTTGTGCACGCGCTGGCCTCGCTGCTCATCGCCAGCATCAGCGCCTCGGTCGTCGTCACCTACGCCCTTGGCGGGCGGGCAGCCTTCTCGCACCACTGGCGGTGGTTCCAGCCGCTTCGCGGGGGCGTGCGCTTCGTGTCCCTGCAGATCTTCAGCTGGACGCTGTTTGCGCTCTCCCTCGCCCTGCCCACGCTGCCGCTCATCCTGGCACTCTTCTTCCCGTCATCCACCTTCCGCGGCGTCATCCTTGCCGCGGGCCTCTTCGCCTTTGTCTCCCAAGTCGTCATGGCCACCAGCATCATCACCTACCACGAGCCGCAGGAGCAGCACGCGGACGGGGGCGGGGAAGGAGGAGATCAGGGCGGACAACAGGGAAGAGGGAAAGACAGAAGCGGCGAGGGCCAAGCAAGGAAAGGCAGCGAACAGGACACAGCGCAGCAGGACACACAAGAGGACGAACACCGCACAGACCAACACGACAAAACAGCTGCCGCTGAGAGAGCAGCAGCAACAAAGAGAAAGGCCAAGAGGTGGGCGGGCAAGGCACCGGCAGATGGCGGCAAACACAAGAAGCATCATGAAGGCGATGACAAAAGGAAACAGAAGCAACAACAGCAACAACAGGAGGAGCAGGTCCAGGAACAGGAGCAGGCCCAGGACCAGGAGGAAGAGGAGGAGGATGCACGCAGCGTGGCATCTGCCCCGGGCTCGATCGGCTACTTCCTGCAGTCACCACAGGGTCATCGCTGGTGGACATCATTTATTGGGGCCCAAGTGTTGCTCAGCTTGACCGGCCTTGCATACACGGTCCTGTTGGACGTGTACATCAAACACGATGCGGAGCCCATGCTTGTGTTCGCCTGCCTCTGCTGCCTTACTGCTGCCATCTTCCTCACATACGGGGTTGGCGGCCGGTGGGCGTATTCACGCAAGCAGTGGTCCTTCTTCCAGCCGTTTATTGGAGGCCCCATCTTCATTGCCCTGCAGATGCTTGCGTGGACCTTCTTTGGCACGGCCGCGTTTGTGTTTCTGCTGCACATTCTGCGTGCGCTCTCGGTCTGCATCCCCGCTTACACGGACGACGTGAGTGCCCTCCCCACCATCACCACCGCGGGGCTGGCGGCCTTCCTTGCCCAAGTCATCAACGTCGCTTCACTCTTCGGTGTGTGTGTGTGTGTGTGTGTGTGTGTGTGTGTGTGTTTGTGTGTGTTTGTGTGTGTGTGTGTTTGTGTGTGTGTGTGTGTTTGTGTGCGTGTGTGAGTTTATGTGTAAGTGTGTGTACGAGAAAAGCGTACATTGATGGAGAAGGACAGTCCGATGTAGAAAGCAAGGGGAAAAAACACTGTTAGAGTAAATGGTCCAGGGCCAGATACTGCTTCAATACAGTATTTGACTGAATTCACCTGACCACAGCCGCAAACCGCAACGCAATGACTACCTCTGTCCTGGCACGTGCAGGAGACAATAGCGATTGACCATTTACTGTGCATACATGTGTACTCGGTCGATCGACGATTACTAACAGTGGAGACGCAGATCTGTAAACTGAATACTATATTTATAAAAACTTAAATAACAAAAAATAAAGAGGCGAAACACTGGTTGATGAAAAGGGGCGTGTCTGTAGAACTGGAGGTGTGAGCGAGCGACGACTGAGCCGCTAGCTAGAGGGTTGACAGCATTCTGCAAACTATGTAATGTTGAATGAAGTAA